CCAGATACAAGTCCCAGCACTGACAGAAGGCAACCAGGAGAAGGTGAAGGGACAAAGCAAAACCAATTCTACTCAGTCTCTCTCTCTCTCTTTGTCTCTCTCTCTTATACACAAAAATTCATGACACCAGGAAGGTGTCATCTGGCTGTGACCCAATTGATAGTCTGGGCTCTGCCCTAACCTGTACCCAGGAGTGTCTTGCTGACATAATCCCTAACCAGCACAACCACCAAATTCAAATTTCATGTGTCTTCCTTATCCATGAGGCTGCAGAAGCTGTTGAAGACAATTCAAGGGAGAGGCAGAAACTAAAGTCCCAAGAAGCCAGAAACAGGATCCAGAGTCTGAAAGCTAAATGTTCAAAAGTGCAATCAGGAATTGCTTGCTTTGGCACAGGGTCAGATAGCTTTGATGGAGGAGTGGGTTTTGCCTTCTGCACTCCATAGCCCTGGAGAAACAAAACGTGATGACTTGAGTCACACCCTCTAGTAAAGTAGGGACTCAAAATACATCCCACTTTAATCCTTCTCATTAGCACAACTCCCTTGAAAATGGAATTATAACCACAGGTATATTATTGTTAGGTGCCATCGGATCGATTGTGACCCATAGCGACCCGATGGGCAACAGAACGAAACACTGCCCAGTCCTGTGCCATCCTCACAATTGTTCCTTTTAGGGTTATAACCTTCAGTATGGATTATGACTCAATGTAAAGAGAGCCAAAATTCTCACAACTGAACCAAAAGGGTAACATCATGGTCAATAGAGAAAAGGTTCAAGTTGCCAGGATTTTGTCTCGCTTGAATCCCCAATCCATGCCCATGGAAGCAGCAGTCAAGAGATCAAAAGACACGTTGCAGTAGGTAAGTAAACCCACTATCCAGAGGTCTGCTGCTCAAGACCTCTTTAGAGGATTAAAAATCAAGGATGCTACTTTGAAGACTAAGGTGCGCCTGACCCAAGTCATGGTATTCTCCTTTGCCTCTTATGCATGTGAAAGTTGGCCGTTGAATAAGGAAGACCAAAGAAAGAATCTATGCAGTTGAATTGTGGGGCTGGCAGAGAATATTGAAAGTACTATGGTCTGCTTAAAAGACAAGCCGATCTGTCTTGGAAGAAGTACAACCAGAGTGCTCCTTAGAGGCAAAGAGGGCAAGACTTTGTCTTACATGCTTTAGATATATTGTCAGGAGAGACCAGCCCCTGTAGAAGGACATCATGCTTAGTAAAGTGGAGGGGCAGTGAACAAGAGGAAGCCCCTCAAGGGGATGGACTGACACAGTGGCTGTGACAATGAACTCAGGCATAGGAACAAGTGTGAGGATTTCAAGGGACCAGGCAGTGTTTTGTTCTGTGGGGCACAGTGTCCCTATGGGTCAGAATGGCACTCAAGGGCACCTATAAACAACAGTGAGAAAACAGGACTAAGCAGTGCAGCATCGTCACTGTTTGTGAACTTGAATTTTCTGCTCTCTTCTGCATATTGAGTTTCCATTTACTACTGTGGATTTGGTGCTCCTTGGCTGGCATTGGCTCTGTGTTGAGTTGTTATTTACTGATGGAACTAGCGATTTTCTGAACGCAGAAGGTGGTTATCTTCTGGCCCTGCTTCTCCTCATCAATTGTGATGTTGACATTCAAATGCCTTTATCCTTCTTGACTTTCTTTATTAAGTTCCTATAACAGCTCAGAAGTGTCTCGCCCTTTCATTGTTTGTGTTTATTCACCGCCAACTCTGTGGTGGTTATGTGAGCCTTTGAACAATGAAGAATTGCTATCATATGTTGCAAGTGTACTCTTTGATAGACAGTTTCGAATATTATCTTATTTTGTCCTCACAAGAGCTCCATGAAAAAGACATGACTAGTCACCTTGAGAATATTGAACTACATTCCCATGAGAGGCATGAAATGAAATTCCAAAGTTCCTTAGCTAGTGAGTGACAGGGCAGAGAGAGACTCTAGCACAGTCAAAATCCCAAATTTATAATCAGAGAAAACTGGTAATTTTTTAATGCTAAGATTTATAGTGCAAGCAAACCCGCGTTCAGGAAATGAGCGCCCACATAGTTTTTTTGAACTTGGAGGAGTTGTTGTTGTTGTTGTTGTTAGGTGTCTTCGAGTTGGTGCTGAGTCACAGAAACCCCATGTACGGGGGAATGACCAGTGGTTAGTCCTGTGCCAGCCTTACCATCAGTGCTGTTGGAGCCTGTCTTTCCCATAGCTGTCCTCTCAGCTCATTTCCCTGACCGTCTTCTTATGCTGCAGACCTACTGTGCCAAGCAGGATGAGCTAGCTTCTCCAGGGAGTGGTCACCTGACAGCATGCGCCAAGGAGGGATCATATTGAAAATGTCAAAATCCCCCCTTCTCTTTTAAAAAGATTGCACCCAGTGGGCCCATATTCCAGTGTAAGATCGTAAAGAGGTTCTTTAGTGAAGGCATGCATTTTTCAGGTGGACAAAATCCCTCCACTCCTACTGCATCACCTGTGGCTCACTGCACTCACCTGTGTCACCTGTTCAGCACCTGTATTCATTTGATTTTGTAATCCGTAGGCTGATCTCTGGACTCAATTTTCTGAGGGCTGGAATTCTGGGTTTTGCTAACGGTGTACCCTGGACAAGTGACTTTATATCTTTAGGCCTCAGTTTTCTCATCTCTGAAATGGGGTGGGTAGCATTAGTACTTAACTCTGGTTTTGAATATTACATAAGATTAACTATACCAATCCCCACAAAATGGTGTTTGGCACATAGTAAGTTCTCTTTGAAGGCCAGATGTTATTATTAACCACTATTCTAACAAACACAGACCCCTGGTGCTACCGTGGGTCATGTATTGGGCTGTGAACCACAAGGTTAGCTGCTTGAAACCTCCAGTCACTCCACAGGAGAAAGATGAGGTTTTCTACTCCTGTAAATATTTGTCATCTGGGAAACTCACAGGAACAGTTCTCCTCTGTCCTGTGGGGTCAAGATAAGTCAGTACCCACTAAACAGCGGTGTGCTTGGCTTTTAAAAATGCTAATTAACTGCTATCTCGTCAGCAAGTGATGTTCCACACTTGAATAAGAAACCTTTCCCAGGTTCTGCCTCCGTGAGAATGAGGCTATTGGAAGAATTCAGAATGGAACCACACTGGCCTTTAATAGGCAATAAAGTATGTAACTTTGACATTATCGTCAAATGGTTTCATTCAATCTCTGATATCATGTGAACCTTGGAGAAGTTATTTTACCTCTTCCTGATTCAGTCACATTTGCAAAATAAGCACAATGATAATATTTACTCCACGAGGTTGGGGGGAGGTACAGGTGAGTCAACACAGAAAGTGCTACAGAACAGAACTTCGACCACACTATGTGCACTGTGGATGCTCCTCGTGATGACAAGAGCAAATCAGAATTGAGAAGCCTCCAGGTGGACCTTGGCTTCTGGCAGACAAAGAAGATATTTCAGAGTGGATTGTCATGGCAAGTATGGGGAATTTAGAAGTCGAACGCCTTGCTTTTATATCCCAACCCTGAATTCTCTGCAGTCCGGATTATGTTCCCTCCATTCTTCTTAAATTGTCACTTTTGATGGACAATCATCCATCAATTTGTATCCAGTGACTTCTGCCTCATCTTCTATAGAGCAGCGGTTCTCAACCTGTGGGTCGCAACCCCTCTAGGAGTCGAATGACCCTTTCACAGGAGTCCCCCGATTCTTAACAGTAGCAAAATTACAGTTATGAAGCAGCAACAAAAATAATTTTATGGTTGGGGGGGTGGTCACCACAACATGAGGAACTGTATTAATGGGTCATGGCATTAGGAAGGTTGAGAACCACTGTTCTAGAGGTGACAAGGCTTTTACAGGACAGCCACCTAGCACGGCTAATTCCCAAAAGAGGAAGCTGAGGCTGAGAGGAGTCCTGTGGCTTGTCTACAACTCATTTGTGACAGACCCAGAGTCACCACCATTCCTGGACTGTTTATTTACTAAATGACAGGGACCCTCTCCCTTCAGGACTTGTGTCTATTTGACAAGTGGTGAAGGGGGCCTGGCACCCAACATGTGGCTGGTCTGAGCACTGCCGCCCCACTCTCCTCTTTCTCCTTGTCCTCTCTGCCACCCGAACCTTGCTCCATCAGGCTCTGGCCGGGAGGATATGTTAAGAGGGCTACTCTCGTCTTTTCCAGCAGGGCCCCATGTCCTGTGACTCCCTGGTTTCCTCATGGGTAATGGTCTCCCTGCCCTGGACCTGCCTCTCTGGGGCGGTGTTTCATTTCCCTGCTGGCTGCTCTGTTTCCTCCGGCTGGCTGCCTTGCTAGGTTTTTAGTTCGGCCTCTCATCGATGCCGGGAGATGAGGGGAAGGGCGCCCCTGTGGGCTCAGTCATTGGACAGAACGACTTGGTGATGGATGCGCTTTCTCCTCAGGGAGTTTGGGGTCAGGAGAAATCCAGCTGATAGGCTTTTCCAGACTTGAGTCACCCAGAACAGTCCGTGCCAGCAGGATCTTACCTCCTTTGTGGCTTTTTTTTTTTTTTGGTATTCATTTTAAAGGATATTCTCAGCGGCGTTTCCACATCTCAGTGGATCCAGATACATGCCACACGAACGGCTTGGAGGAGAAGGGGTGGGAGGGAGGAAAGGAGGGCCTTAAAAAGAAAATCCCTCTCAAAATATTTTCTTTCTTCTACAGATTGAAAATGCACCTTCTAAGCCTTTCCTCTTCAAAATGCCCTCCTAGCTACGTGTTGAGGGGGAAATACTCAATGTTTGTTTATTTTTTCTTCCAAGGCGCTTCTTCGGCCCGGATGATTCACGTCCATATCGTTTTTCCTCCTCTTTATCTCAGCGGTGTGAGATAAAGCGACAACCCAAGTGGCATGCTGATGTCAGAACAATTCCTGTCCTGCAGGAGGGTCGGCAGCCTCTTGCACAGACGTCCTTGAGCCCTCGAGACGGATGTGAGTGAGTTGTTCAGTCCCCATGCAAAACAACCATCTAAACATAACAGATGACATCAGCCCGAGCTTTCCAATTCCTGGATGGCAGCAGCGTGTTAATCCAGCCGTCATCCTGGATTGCATAAACTGAAACAAGCGAGGGCCTGGCCGGAGGACAGCCCTGCCTCTGGATGGAGGAAATTGATGACGGGGAAGCCTTCGCGAGGATAAAAGCCCCGGGCGTGTGCACAGAGGGTCAGCTACCACTTTGGAAGCTTGGACGGCCACCTCCCAGCTCTCACGCCCGAGCCCCGAGGCGCCAGGAGACATGAAGAGCCTGTGGTTGCTGGCCGCCCTCCTGGGAGCCGCGCACCTGGTGGCGGCCTGGGGCACCAAGTACGCGGTGGACTGTCCTGAGCACTGCGACAGCCGCGCGTGCAAAGGCAGCCTGCGCTGCAGGAGGACCGTGCTCGACGACTGTGGCTGCTGCCGCGTGTGTGCCGCCGGCCGGGGCGAGACTTGCTACCGGACTGTGGCGGGCATGGATGGCGTCAAGTGCGGCCCGGGGCTAAGGTGCCAGTTTGCCAATCAGGAGGATGATTTTGGTGACGAGTATGGGATCTGCAAAGGTACAGAGGGCTGCCTGGCTTCTGCCAGCTCCGGGCGAGCGGAAGGGCTTTGAACCAGCTTGGGAGGCTTGCCTCCTAAATTGGGGGTGGGGGAGGCCCTGGGGCTGTTGCCCTCACACAGGGCTTGTCAGGGGCACAGAGAAGGGTTGCTCTGCGTGGGTAGCAGCATAAACCAGAGCGCAGGGAAGCACGGAGGAAAAGAACAGCATTCCACTCGGGATGGTTAGGGGATTCCAGGGAGACACTTGCAATAGACTCCTGGTGCTGCTCATGTTCTAGAAGCTTGATGACAGGTTATGTGTCACGGGCCGTGGAGGGGCGAGCTCCGCTGCCTGGGGATGAGTCCTGAGGTCTCCACCAGATAACCTCTTAGGACGGTTCCTCTGTAGGGTTTAGTGATTCTTTGATCATGAAAGGGTCCACAGGATGGTCTAATGTTTCTGAGCGGCGCCGATGTACTTTAAAGAACCGAGCGGGCTTAAGACCTCTGCTGGCAAATCACTCACATCACTCACATTCTTGGAAGAGGGCATCTTGAAAGGATCGTGAAAACAGACCTCGTTCCATTCCGTCAAGGTAGGGGCCATCAAGAAAATAAAAGGATAGGGCGTCAGGCGAGGGACATTATAACAGGGAGGACAAATAAAAACCCCAAGTCTGTAAGGCAGGATGGCAGTCTTAACTGGCTTCGAACAAACTTCATGACGTTGATGTTTATCACTAAAAAATGTGGCTATGCGTTTGTAAAATTTAGTTACATTAGGTTACTATAGTTTCAAATGGTTAGGATGAAAAGAAGGGTGATTTTAAATGACTCTGCCTTTCAAAAAATGTATGGAAACATTTCAAAAAGTTTTATGGAACAATGGTATGAAGAGCTAGTGGAATTTTCCCACGAACTTTTTTGAAATTCCTTGGTGTATGGATACCTATTGGTCTCCCCATTAAGAGCTATTATTAAGATGCAACACTGGTCCCATTCTTCGGTTTACAAGACAAAGTAACTTTGAAAATTATGCAAAAGGATTAGGAAATTAAAAAGTTAATTCTTATATTTTATGTATTTGGTAGCGTATAGTCTCTTATATATGGCAATCACCCATTATTGAGCTAATTCCAATATCTCTCCTATCTTTAGATGAATAAGGTATACATACATTAACCACTTTTTAGTCCACGAATAAGTCCAGGAGGCATAATAGATTAGACATTGGGCAGTTAACTTCAGGGTCCCCACCAGTTGCTCCAAGGGAGAAAGATGAGTCTGTTTGTTCCTATACAGATTTAGGACCTTGGGAGCCACAGGGAGCAGTTCTACTTTGTCCTACAGAGTCATGACCAGTCAGAAAGACTCATTGGCAGTGGGATTGAGCTTATTAGGAGGATTGTAGTTTTTGTTTAACAAAAGGTAGAATCCAGATGAAACACTTCTTTGGGTACACATGTACATACTTTTTTTTTTAATTGACTAGGATCTGTAGTTTCTGCAAATTGCAGGACTTATCAGCCAAGAAAACAGTTCTTCACATCCAGAAAGGAGGGAGGAAGTGGTTAACGCAATTATACTTATGGTCTATGCAGCGGCCTGCCTTTTCTCTTGGCATAAAAAATGTCCTTGCAAATGTACCACCACTCTGATTAAAGGAGCAAGTTGTAAGGCATCTGGACTCTTCGCAATCTGATACTCCGTGGATGAACTGTAGTAGAAGCTTCTAGAATCTATTATAAAAGAGCACTAGGCTTGCTCTTTCCCCACATCCTTCAGCCTGCATATGAGCTGGGCTCTGAGCACTCCCTGCCTGCTAGACAGGATAAGGCGGTAAGCCTCAGCACCTTTCATCAGCTTTCACTTTTATTTTTTTCTTACTGAGTACCCAAATGGAAGCTGTACACTTCAGCTGCACAGCCGAATACTTTCTAAATATTCAGGTGTTTGGCATTGCACCACCCATATCTCAACCAACCAGCCAACATTTAGGGATTGACACTTACTATGTGCCTAGCACTGTTCAGCACATCAGGGGATCCAAGATGAGTACTCCTGAGAATGTAACTGGTATTTTGTTTTGTTTTCTATATGGTTTTGATATCCTAATTCTGTGTGCTTTTCTGCAAGATGCTCTCTCAAGATCCCTTTGAAGCATTAAGGACAAGTGTCCCCTACAGCGAGGGAAAAGTTTGAATTGAGGCATTTCTGCAATCTGAAAGATTAAGGAAAGGGCTGCCCTAGATCTCTTTAAAAACACATCTCTTTAAGGTCTGTCTAGAGCATCAGTTGAATAACAGGTTGCTAAAGACTCCAATACCTTACAGCTTTATCTCTTTACTCACATATGATTGTACATTCACAATGGCATTTTCGTGCCAAGAGAAACAAACATCCTACATCTACTCTGCTTGACACTCAGGGACTGCGGAGAGGTTGTTTATGCCATAAAATCATGCGGTTTACGTCGACAGAATTTGTCCCTCTATTTGAATCTAATAATCCAAGGATGAGAACACTGGAATTCTCAAGTCTTCTAGTTTGGAATAACCGTATAGCTAGCCTTCAGCTGTCTTGACCGCCTAGTAAAGTGCATCTTTGAGCAGGGTTTCCCTAGTGGATGCTCCTTCCTAACCACCAGGGAAGTCAGTTAGAATTGACCATGTCAGGAAATTCATTGGAAAGGTGGCAGTGCTTTTAGCCTGCGCAAGTTTCAAGACTGAATTCAAAGACTCTTTGAGGAGCTGGCAGGTTCCTCTATTTAATTTCCCATCTTCACTGTCCTGTTGCTGTGCTAACCTATAACAACCTGCCTGTGGGTATTTCGGCAGAAAATAGAGTTACAATTGGGCCAAGTGGACTGGCTCTGTGTCATTGTCTTTGACTAACCTTTGCCACGAGACACTACAACCGAGCCTTCCATCCATGATCTGGTCTTAGTGTTTGAAGTGTCTTGAGGGTTTATCTTTTTTGCCTTAAAGTTTCAAAGCTTGAGTTTTGAGAGGACCAGGCTTTAAATTTCAGCTGAGAATCATGAGACTCATTCACCTCCCACCGCTGTGCCTGTGGGGCTGTGAGGATGGGGGTTGATGCACACCAACCTGCTCTCTTAACCCTTTCTTTGCCCTCAGACTGCCCCTACGGCACCTTCGGGATTGACTGCAAAGAGACCTGCCACTGTCAATTGGGCATATGTGACAGAGTGACCGGCAAATGCCTCAGATTTCCCTTCTCCCAACAGCCAGTAACCAAGTCTTTCAGCAAGAGCTTCGTTTCTCACCGAGGTAAGAGTGGAATCTGGTATCAACTGTGGTACTACATGCTCTTTTTCAGTTTGAAAGGCTTGAACCCTATCAGTGAATGGAATTGTTGTCGGGTGCCATCAAGCCATTTTTTTTACTCACAGTGGCCCTATGGGGCAGTACAGCTGCCCCATAGGGCTTTCACATGCTACTCTTCTTGGGACATTTCCAAGTCTTTCTATCTCAGAGGCACCGGGTGGGTTCAAACTACAGACCTTTCGGTTGGCAGCCAAGTGCTTACTCATGGCCCCACCAGAGCTCCTTGTGAGTAGACTAAGAGGTTGACTTGCTTACTTTGTTGTCTCTCTTTTACCCCGGGGGAAAGATGGGTGGTTATTGTGTTTGGTGGCTGTTGCTGCTTTAAAAAAGATCCCTTGAATAAACTCCTAATATATGCTCCTAAAATCTATGTGTTCTTATAGAGGATAAATAAAATGAATTCATAAAGAACCTATCATCAGAAAATAACCAAAGGTACATGAAGTTCTTTAAATTCTTCAGTGTTCTGTTTTATATATTCAGCAGGCACAGTGATTTCGCTCCCAACTGCACATAGAAAAAATACTCAGAGGAATTTATTGGATAAGGTTTAAGAGCCAAGTGAGAAAATATAGAACACCCCCCCCCCCAATTTTCCTTTTACTTCTTGAACCTAATGGAGACACTTAAATGGAATCATTCCAAGTGTGCATTTTACTGGAGGATGAGAGAGCCTATCGGGGGCTGAAATTTGGGAAGCAAATGTGATTGTCGTAAGGACCCCATATGCTTCTTGTCAGTCCATGTGTATTCAGCAGGTGGTTAGAATGTGAGAACTACATGGCTTGTAAGATGGTGGGACACACATATTTGGTTATCTGGTTGAATGAAGGGCCAGTGCAATAAAGCTCCATTCAATCAAAAATAGCTCATTTAAAACAATATGCTAGTGACAGCAACTGCTAGTATTAACAAACAGCACCTTTTTTTTCAATATAATAAAACTTTATTGTTTAAATTCACCCACAAACAAGTTATAATACAAATATACAATCTACAATTGCTAAAGTTACTGTTCTCATTAACAAGGTAATATTTAAATGTCAAATAGCAGTCCCATAAGGCAGTTGTACACATGAGGTTACATAACAAATTTCATTAAGTGTAACGTTGTATCTGGAAAATGAGCACCTTGTGCCTCCAAATTCTCGAATATAAGAAATAGGCTGTGTAGCTAACAGTAATTTCCACAAGTCCACTTGTTCAGGTCCAATAGATGGAAATAAAAGACAAGGTGGAGGCAGGGCTAGCCCACCCAAGGGCAGGCTATCCGTTTTTTAGTGTGAGCCTAGTAAGAAGATCCTGTACGATTCCAAATAGAGTCATGGGCATAATCACAAAAAGTTGCATTTACATCCTCAGAACAATTTGTCCAAAAAATTTCCATAGTGACCCCCATCAACAATAGGGACAGAATTATGAACAATAATTTTCCCATGCAGCTCTTAGGTAGCAATGCAATTCTTTCTGTACAATTTTACGATAGGTGAACATTTCACAAAATTCAGTATCCTTCTTGACAAGTTGTGCAGTATTGTTTTCATATTCAGCAAAAATAATTCCTGCTAAGAAGAAAAATCAATGGCTAGTCCAATGAATAGATAACCAAGACATCCATACTTGCATTTTAGTTTTTTTTCACTTGCATTTTAGTTTTAAGAAAATGTTTTACAGATCTCACACACAATGGATAAGAGGAATAACCCAAAGTGAAGTTCAGAGCACGTCCTGGCTCATTGGGGAAGTGACTGTTCCCATCTCCCCTGGGAGCAGTCCATTGAGTGTCATTGGTGAAAACCACAGGTCCTGGCAAATGCCATTCAGCTATCTGTAGTAATGTTGATGAGGAATGTAAGCCCAGTAAGAGTGATCTGCACTTAGGTCAGATGGAATAACAAGCATTACCAGCATGGTCAGAAACATACGTGTCATGTCGGAGTCTTGTGAGGAGTCCTTAGGTCTCTGACTGCAACTGTCCCTGCAGGAAGCACTGGGGACAAAGTAGTCAAGGCAGGAACATCATTCTTGTGACCTTGTGGCTTAGTGCAGCTTATCACAGAGTAGAAAACAGAGGCAACTTCTTAGAAAGAAGCATTTTGTAGAGATCAGAATTTGGGGCAAGTGAAGCCGCTTTGAATTCACTGTCTTTGAGTTCCTGTGTTGCTGATTCTGGGTCTTGAGGTCCAGAGGATGAGGACTTGTCTGATTCCTCTGAATTCTAATCACACTACTCGCGATGGCCCGGATGTCACCAGTCAGGTCCGTGCCCAGCTCAAGCTGAGAGGGCAGGAGCAAACAGCACTTTTTGTCTCATATATCAATGACTGATTATCCTAATTCATGTTAGAGTCTTTTTAAAAAATTGTTTTTAACTCATTAATTAAGATGTAAAATAGTTGACTGATATTCTCATTTCCCCAACTTTATCTCATTCCTACACCATACAACTAAGCATATTAAAATGAAGGGGAGATAGTTTGTGTTTAAGAGAACTATTTAAAAGTAGGCTGTGGTGGTGAGTTGTGTGTTGGGCTGCTAAAAGCAAGGTTGGTAATTTAAACCCACCAGCTGATCTGCAGGAGAAAGATGAGGCTTTCTGCTCCTATTAAGAGTTACAGCCTCTTCCTGACAGGATCACTGAAGACAAAATGGGTGCATAAGCAAATGTGGTGAAGAAAGTTGATGGTACCAGGCTATCAAAAGATAAAGGGGTCTTAAAGGCTTGAAGATAAACAAGTGGCCATCTAGCTGAGAAGCACCAAAGCCCACATGCAAGAGGCACACCAGCTTGTGTGATCATGAGGCGTTGATGGGATCAGGTATCAGGCATATAAGACCCAGAACAAAATCATGCCCAAAGTGAATGGGGGTGTGTGTGAAGTGGAGACCCAAAGCCCACCTGTAGACAATTGGACATCCCCTCACAGAAGGGTCACAAGGAAGAGATGAGCCAGTCGGGGCAGTATAGCACTGATGAAACACACAACTTTCCTCTAGTTCAGTGGTTTTCAACCTTCCTAATGCTGTGACCCTTTAATACAGTTCCTCATGTTGTGGTGACCCCCAACCATAAAATTATTTTCGTTGCTACTTCACAACTGTAATTTTTCTACTGTTATGAATCATCATGTAAATATCTGATATGCAGGATGTATTTTCATTGTTACAAATTGAACATCTTTAAAGCATAGTGATTCACAAAAATAATATGTAATTATATATTGTGAAATATTTATTTCTAATTACAAATAAATGAAATTTTGTCTTGAAGCATGGTGTAGCATGGGTAACAGTCTTTATGCCGGGTACTCATATGTGGGCATATCTGCATGTGGGTGGACCCGCCTGGAGATGGATAGAGGAGCGGTGTCTCGGTTTCTAAGACCATGGAAATATGTGTTTTCTGATGGTCTTAGATGACCCCTGTGAATGGGTCATTTGACCCCCAAAGGGGTCATGACCCACAGGTTGAGAACTGCTGCTCTAGTTCCTTAATGCTTCCTTCCCTCCACTCTCATGACCTCAAATCTACCTTACAAATCAGATTAGACCAGAACATGCACACTGCTACAGATAAGACTCCACAACACTGAGAATCCAGGATAGATAAACCCCTCAGGGTCAACAATGAGAATAGAGATACCAGGTGGATAAGGGGAAGGTGGGGGGAGAGAGGAGATTTCAATCACAAGAATCAATATATAACCCCCTCCCAGGGGGACGAACTACAGAAAAGTGGGTGAAGGGCGACAGAGGACTATGTAAGATATGAAAATAATAATCCATAACTTATCAAGTGTTCGTGAGCGAGGATGGGCGGGGGGAGGGAGGGGAAGAAATGAAGAGCTGATATCAAGGGCTCAAGTAGAAAGAAAATGCTTTGAAAATGATGATGGCAGCATATGTACAAATGTGCTTGACACAATGGATGATTGTATGGATTGTGATAAGAGATGTAAGAGCCCCCAATAAAAGTATTTAATTAAAACAAAAGATTTACAGCCTCAGAAACCCACCTCTGAACTAATCCTCCAGGATGGAGACCCTTCTTTGTCCCTCCTGTTCTCTCCAGCTGCATGTCCCAAGCAGCCTGTCCTCCCTGCCTGCTCTCTTTCCTCCTGCCTGTCACCTGCTCCCTTTTGCTGGCCCCAAACCATAAAAGCACCCCCAAACCAAACCCACTGCCATCGAGTCCATGCCAACTTGCAGTGACTGTAGGACTGGGTAGAACTGCCCCATGGGTTTCTGAGACAGTAACTCTTTACAGAAGTAGAAAGCCCATCTTTCTCCCACAGAGTGGCTGGTGAGTTCGAACGACTGACCTAGCAGCCCAATTCACAACCATTACTCCACCAGGGTAGATCATGCAAATATCTTAATCGATAAAGGATGCCTTAAAGAAAATCAAACCTCACTGTCTTTGAGTTGATGGTGACTGCTAGTGTCCTTACAGGACAGGGTAGAACTGTCCCTGTGATGGAAATAGGATACCCTGTCTTTCTCCGGAGGAGCCACTGGGGGTTTCCAACTGCAGGCCTTGCGGGTCCCAGCCCACCTCCTAACCACGATGCCACCCGGGGCCCTAAAAGGTGCCTCTGAAACAAAGTTTTTCTGGGTGGAAATGACATCATACAATTACACAAATAGTATTTCTTCATGAAATGTATGGAGAGACAGCGGGCTCCCTCCCTTCTCTGAGCCATGGCATTTCTCGTCATCACAGCGGCCTAACCTTGGCAAACCTTGGTCAGGTCTCCAACAGAACAGTCTGCAGAATTCACAGAGACACTTCCCAGGTCCTCCCTCCCGGTGTGCTTCTGGGGTTTGTTTGCTGAATTAACAGGAGGGGCCTTGGGGCCTCCCACCTGCCATAGCTCTCATTGCACCTCAGCACAGAGCTGCTTGGGACCTGGTGAGCAGGTTAAGTGACGGAGCCTTACTCCAGTGGGGATTCCTGGAGGCCCCTTCCACACCCTGACCATGTGAGGTTATCTCTTCCAACTTTTTAGTGGCTAGCTACAACATTCCTGGACGGGGGCTCCCCCTGGAATGTTCTGGAATGTTTCATGAATTTAAATGCATTCTTATCCCTCCGATAGCACCTCACTTTCGGAAGTGCACTACTGTAGACAAGCACACTGCGCTGCTCAAGGAAGCAGATCATTTCTGTTTAGTGGGGCGGCAGGAAACATAAACCTCTATGCAATGCAAACTTGTGTGTAGACATAAGAACTGTCTTTATGATAGTTCTGCCCTTTGATGTGCCATCTGCATGCCTTTCAGAGCTACACCAATAAGCTAACCCTTTCCCGGTGTCAGTTCGTGTAGTGATCTGGGGTTACAACATTTGCTCATTCCAGGAACATTCATGGAACACCTAATATGTTCCAGGTGCTGTTATAAGTGCTGGCAATCTAGTTGTGAGCACAATAAAATGTTTGCCTTCATGGAGTGGATATTGTAGTGGTGGACAGAGATCGACAAAAGACAAATTCATGTGTAAGACAACATCAGGGAGTGGTAGGTATCGGAAGAGAAATCATTCAAGAGGGTAGTACATGCAAGTTGCTGATTGAGATGGAATGGTGACTTCGGTGGTAAAGCTTTGCTTGACCATTGAGTTTTACCAGCACTTGAGCCTGATCTGCATTTCTTCCCGTTTCAGAGCTTGATATGGCGTCTGGAGATGGAAACACTGTGAGCAAAGAATCTTTGAAAGAGAAAACTGCCCGGACGTCTGTCACGAAATGGCTAACCCCACGCTGATACTGGTGGGATTTCCAAGTGAAGGCTTTACCCTAATGATGACTCAATACATGGGGAATATTTAGACATGAATGTAGACATGTGATTTTTGGAGACCAAATGCATTTCCAGGTCTAGGGGGAAAAAAAGGCTACTTGCAATCTGTAAAATGCATATGGCTGTACACATTTAGATATTTGTTTGTTAATCATTTGAATGCTGAACCTGTACATTTGTTAAGTGTGTGTCTGTGAACACCAAAGAACTACAAAGACCACTTAGATCATGTCAATGTGGAAGCAGGTTAGCCAAAGTCGAAGAGTAAACTGACCAAAGCTTAAGACCATGGTGGCCCTGGGCATTCTTTGACTGTGCGTCCTTCACATGTACCTTGACATTGGGATGCAGGATGGAGGAAGAAGCAAGAACAAGGGAAGGTGATGGTGGGAGCATGGGGTTGTCAAATTTAGCTGTTTCTTGTGACAGTTTCAGTAGAATTTAAGTGTGGGGCTTCCCCTCACCCCCACCTTTGGGCAAAGTCAAAACAAAAACCCCAGGAAACCCTGGAAAGAATCGGGATGCTGGGACTTCTGGGGATTTGAGTAACAGCCTTGAGTTGAGGCTGGTTTCCAAGGGCTGCGAACACTGCCCCCACGTTCCATGGGCTTGAGGGATGAGTCTGCGGCGGAAAGCAAACATCCGCTCCACCCAAAGCTTGGAAGACTGTCACCTCAGAGGAAGAGTGGGCAAGTATTTTGTCCAGTTGGGTAGGTGTGAGGGAAATATTTATATATTTTTGTAAAAATAAGTTTTACTATGAGTCATCTCCCATACCTATATTTATCATCCTGTTGGAGAAATGAATATAATATTAAGTTTGTTTAAGATGGTTAGAATAAAGGTTTAACTCTATAAGATTTTCAAATACTAGAGATATCATAAGTTTATTGTTAATAATTATAATAATATGGATGATAAGAAGCATAAGAGAAATCTAGAAAACTAAATTGTCAAAACTGAGCAACGAGGAGAAAAGTAGATGATTTAAAAGGAGATGTAGTAACTTTGATGAGTTTTAAATTTAAAGTGAAAAATAACTTCTGAAGAGGCTTATAATTGAAGAGTCAATTTTCAACAAGAAGCATGTCAACTTTAGGATTCATTTTCATATTTTTTCTCTCAAGCATAAATTGAATGAAGATTCTTCATCAGAGGTTCTCAGCACAAATAAGACTGTTGCAATAAATGACTTTAGGAAGTATTTGCAGAAGTATTTTATTTGAAGTGAAGAACTTATTTAAGCATTATTGCATTTTTTACCTATATTTTATTCTAGAAGTTAGAATAGAAAGTTATGGATATGGCTTTGGGAGGATCTTTGAATATAAATGGATTAAGCGGTTTTATTTTAAAAGGACAAATTTCTTACTGTTCAATAAAATAATATGTTCTGAGTCTATTCATAATTTTAATTTATTTTAATGATTCATTCAGATGAATTTAATATGCTCAAAGATAGATTCTTTAACTGAATATTATTTATCTGCTATAGATAAGCTTCTTCCAGCATCATTAACTCCAAACTTACTGCCATAGGGCTGATGCCAGCCCACAGCTACTGTAGGACAGGAGAGAGCTGTCCCTGTGAGTTTCCAACACTGTAACTCTTAACAGGAGTAGAAAGCCTTGTTTTTCTCTCAGAGAGTGGCTGGTGGTTTCAAACTGCTGACTACAAACCCCGAAAGTAACCACTCTGTCCATAGAGTCCCCATGAGTCAGAATTGCCTCGATGACATTGAGTTTGACTTTTTTAGTTTATCAGGGAAAAGTCTCGTTAAAGATTTGCAACCATGACTGAAACCCAGTTTCAGTCTAAGATAAAACTTTTAATTTTTTTACAGTTTTATTGACACAATCCACATATTACACAATTTATTAGTTCAATCATATCAAGAAGAATTGTATAATCATTACAATTTTATAACATTTTTACATGATTAAATTGCTTTTGAAATGAGTTGTGTAATCACAATCAGTTCTAGTGCTCCCTCCCCTCCTGCATACATTGATTGCTCCCGAAATCCCCTCACCCTCTCTGTATCCTACCCCCACCCTTACATCCTTGATAAACCCTTGCATCATTTATTATCTCTATGCATCTACTCCTCTGTGCTTCACAAACTAACAAACCCAACAACCATTCGAGGCCCTTGCCTATGTCTAAAGGGGATCTGCCAGCAGCTTAATCTGACTAGATACTCGGCAGATGGGCTTTGGGTTCCCACAGTCCTCCATAGCCTTCCACACATTGGGTGCTCATAATTTTAGCTCCGATGCTTTCTCCTTCATCATGTTTGAATTTTGTTATTGTCATCTTTGGATCACACAAGCTGGCGTGTTTCTTCCATGTGGACTTAGTTGACTCCTCACTTAGATGGCTGCTTGTTTGAATTGAAGATGAGTTTCAAATAGGGGCATACTATCAGAGCTAACTGTTCTTGGATTGGGGCTGGAGTTATTGGAAGCCCAGAAAGATAGCCCTTTAGGACAGTGTGGATCGGTGGAAGAAGAGCTAGATTGGGGCAGGCACCTGTCTCTGCTGCCAGCTCTGCAGTCACCAACTGTCTGACTGGACGATAAACTCAAATGAAGGCGGGCCCACCAGCTCTCAGTTGCAAGTATGCTTTTTAGCTGCCTAGCTTTGGGCTATTGGTGCTCTGCAGACTGGTGACCTACTAATGCCAGTGCCTTTCTGGCCCAGATTTCTCTGTTGCCTCAGACTTTAATTTTCACAGCAATGGTCTTCTAATTATTATTTTAAAAAATCTTTCACACCTCTGAGCACACATTTTCATTGCAATTAAAACATTTTTTAAAATTGTCAATTGGGCGAAGATTTACAGAACACATCATCGGTCTGCATTCAGCCATCAGCACACCTTCTGTTTCATTTCATTCGTTGCAGCCCCCACAGTGTAACGCCGTCTCTCCCACTCCTTTTCTGTTTCCAATCCTCCTCCTTTCCCGGCACTTCTGAACTTTCTCCTTGGACAAAGATTCCCCAAAAGTTGATTATTCTAAAGAGTACCTACCTTGCTAGTGCTATTGTCCACCTTCGAGATCTGTTTGCTTTTTAAATGAAAATGTAGGCTCAGGGGTGGGTTCAATTCCAGACCTGAAGGGTGACTATGGACCATGGTCTTGGGTGGGGAGGAGTTCCATCAGTCTCTAGGCAACCAGTAAGCCAGTAAGCCTGCTCTGTTTAATGATAGTAAGGTATGTTTTTGTTTTTTTTTTTAACTAACATATGTCACGTTTTTATTGTGAGTTAAGGTTTAGAGCAAATCAGTTTTTCATTTAATAGGTCATACACATTTTGATTCCTGTCATTGCTTACAATCCCCACAATGTAACATCCTTCATTCTCATTCCATCTCCTCCCTGTGTTTCCATCCCTCTCAGGCGTCAGAACTGACTCAATGGCAGTGAGTTGTTGTTTTTCCTTAACCTTTCCTGCCTTCTGAACTTTGTCCTTGGGGAAACACTGCCCTTTTGGTCTCAAATTGTTGATTGTAATAAGGAGTGTGGGTCATCCCTGTGCTATTGGTCCCCTGTTACACCAATTAGCTGAAAAACGGAGTCACAGGAGTGAGCTTAGTTCTAGGTCTGAAGAGTAACTCAAAGCACAGTCTTGGGGGTTCCACCAGTATCTATCTGACCAGTAAGCCTGGGATTTCATATGATTTTTAGTTTTGTTTCATATCTTTATCACATTGTATTCAGGAACTTTTAATGAAATTGCTTTAGTTGGGCACCATCTAGTTCTTCTGATCTTAAGATTGTGAAGTCCGTGATGTATGTAATAACATATACTATTTAAATTAAATATATACATATACCATTGCACAAAAGATCTAAATGGGGGCTTCAAAACATTCATATAAATATGGAACTAAAATATATATTTCCATGAATTCTTTGAAGTGCCCTGGTATACATCTGAATATAAGGTAACTCCAACCATGATCATAAAACTGAGGCAGCTATTTTATTCTGAATTAGAAAGTGGCATAAGCAATTGAGAGTATGCCCCCATAATGAGAGACACTTCTCCATTTCAGGGCATGATCTTGGGAGAAAAATAATCTTAGACCCTTTCGTCTGGGATGACTAGAGAAACAAATTCAGAGACATTCTCATATGTGTATGAGAAAGAGGTTTTATACACAAGCAACTGGGTATTGAGAAACCATCCCTGCCCAGTCCAGATCAAGTCCATAAGTCCAATATTAGCCCATATGTCCAATACCAATCTATAAATTCCTCTTCAGACTCACCCAACACATTCAATGACATTGAATGAAGGGGGATTACAGGCCAGTGGGTGGAAAGTCTTGTGGATCCAGTGGCAGTGGAAGCATCTCAGCTCTGGCAGGGCTCTCCATGTGGCTCCTTCAGCTCCAGGGCTCTAGCGTAGCGCCATGTGTCTTGTGTGCAGGGATGTGTCTCAGGGAAAGTCTTGTGGATCCAGTGGCAGTGGAAGCATCTCAGCTCTGGCAGGGGTCTCCATGTGGCTCCTTCAGCTCCAGGGCTCTAGCGTAGCGCCATGTGTCTTGTTTGCAGGGATGTGTCTCAGGGAGTGAGTGTGTGTCCCGCCTCCAGTGAGCTATCTCCTTAGCACCTCCAAATGAGGTCATCAAGCTACGACCTAATTGACAGGCTAGACTCCACCCCTCCACTCTTTTTTTTTTTAAGTCATTTTATTGGGG